TGTTTTTTAATGAATCAATCTCATGATCACCACGTCAATGCTTTTGAAATGCTTTACTTCTTTTTTATTTTCTCTTTAATTACAAAAGGATATCTACATTGAAACAACATCATTTTGTTTATTGAGAAAAAAAAAGGTGGAATATTGTGCCCCGTGGCACTTCTCTGATCCTTAATATCTAATTCCCTCAACTTTTTTATATAATTGATGATCTCATCGCAACAGTTGGCGGATTTTAATTTCAAGTCCATCAAATCTTTATCTTGTTTCTATCAACGTAACTATAGTGATTTAATTTTTTTTTTAAATATTTAATTCACTAATTAGACTCCTTAATTTTCCTAGACTAGCTAGTTAATTATGGTTTTGTTTAACAACTAGCGCGAGGTATGCCCAGAATGCTAGTAATCTTTTCACCTCTTCACTTTCACACTTGCTACACGAGTGATCAGATTCTTGTATTTGTCTAGTAGTAGTCTTAGGTGACGTTTGGTTCATGGATTCAAATCATGTGATTAGAATTATTTTCGATTTACGTGTATTTTTTATGAGAGAAAATACTGTAACGAACCACGAACCATGATTCGAATCAGGGAACGAATCTAGGTACCAAACGGACTCTTAATATATTATATAGAGGCATAATACACATGTGTATTCGTCATATAAATATAAACATATAGCATATATGTATGTGTGTGTGTGCGCGATATCTATGGCCTCGTTCATTTCACCGATTCGAGTTTTCAGTTTTAAGTTTATACAGTAAAAAGCTCTCAGAAAATATCATATCTAACTTTTTCTGCTACAGTGAAAAGATCTCAGAAAATGTCACATCTCAACTCAAATTGAAAACTCTAATCCGCGAAGTGAACGAGGCCTATATATATCGCGTATACTAGCAAATTTATCACTTGGATGTTTTCCCCAACAAGCACAATCTATGACCATAAACAACTAAACAAACATGTAGGTATACATATATCCTCTACTCATCACATGTATGCTTTGCTGCTTGACTGTGTCTGGCACAGAATCTAAACCAAGATCTCTCTCTCTCTCTCTCTCTCTCTCTATCTCTCTCTCTCTCTCTATAACTTAGGGCAAGGGCAAGCAGCTATAATCTATACGAATGATTGATCAGCTGACAGGTGTTACGTTATTATTACTTGCCTTCTACACTCCGAATAATAATGAATGCATTTGCGCGTTTGCCTCTCTTTCCAGTAAAGCATTCATTCTAATTTGTGGTCCCATGCCTATATAACTCGACAGAAATAAACTTTCTAGGGTATATAAACCCTGCGCATGTAATTGCACCCTCATGGCATAATTGTTGGTATAACTTCAGTTTATTAGGATCATATTTTTATATGCAATACTAATATATATCGGTGGTGCTAGAGTTATTTATACGTGATATATAATCATTGTATTTCAAGAATAATCTATACATGTACGTAGTTTGTATGGTTCTTGTTTTAAAAATTAAAAGAAGAGTTCCTATAAACCATAAGTTTCTTATTTCTTTCGGACGTTGTCAATTAATGTAATTTACAGAAAACTAGTTGTTTAGTTTTAATTAGAAAGAAAAATTATTTACCTCTAATGTAAAAGAATAAGAATCGAGCTGGTACTTCGTCAGTACCTAAAAATAACTTGTACATATACACAAAAAAAAAAAAAAAAAAAAAAAAAAAAAAAAAAAAAAAACTTTTTTTGTCTAAACTTATTATTTTGACATACAAACATTTCCTCAGTCGACGAGCTTTGTGGGCTTCATTAACAGCACACCATATTGCTGTTCGACCTAGGGCACATAATAAAGCCCTTTACAATATAATCTTCAATCTTACAACAGACACACTTAGTTATCTGTCCACCTTATAGTGTATTTATCTTACAAGAGATGAAACTAGTTAATATAAACGGTACTAACTTGGCACTTACTAAAAGTGCCACAGTTAAAAGTTATATTGTCCTAGTTTTATTATGTACAGGAATTTGAAGAATGACTTCCTTTAACTTTTTTTTTTCCCTTTTCAACATATATATAAAATCCTATTTATATATATTATTAGTATATGACACCAAATATTAGTTTAGATAAGTTCACTTCCACAGTTCAATTTGACAAGAGGCCGACGATGAGGCATTTTCCGGCACCTGTTCTTGTTTCTCCCAGTGTCTGTCAATCACATTTGCATTGTTCGGCGCATGGAGGCTGTTACTTTGTGCATTAGAAAAGCTATTTTCCCTTGACACATCTTCTTGGCTGAGTTGTGATGCTACAAACTTGTCCAAAACCCTCCAATCTGTTACTTGATCATGATTATCCACAATTTGCACATTATTGTAATTACTTCCATGAACAACAGGGTTAAAGTTTTGGTCATGGGAATGTTGAATTTCTTCTCCTTGTCTAAGAGATGAGGAATGCAAAGCAGAAGCATGGTTGAGAAGTAAACTATACGATGCCACGGAAGGCGTGGTGGAGCTCATCGTGGCGGTCGACTGGAAAAGTTTTGGGCTCTCTAGAAGGGGAAGGAAGTGCTCTTGAGGAAGTTGGTAGGGCAAGTGATGATCAAGCTCTTTCTTGCAAGGATAGGGAAGTTGGTAATTATTATTAGCCAAATGAGAGTTGGAGTTCTGCTTTGGAGATTCTAAGTCAGGCATGAAGGAGACCTGTTCATCATACCAACATGGCAATTCGTGTTCACTCGCTCTATGCATATTGCTGGTTGCTATTTTCTTCTTGAAAACCCTACAAACAACCCAACCTTCTTCCTGCTTCAAGTACAAGTAAACGAATCTTACATACATCACACATGTATGTATGTATGTATGTATGTATGAACGTATGCACTCTCTCTCTCTCTCCGGGATGCACCATAAGTTGTAAAGAAAAAGATATATATTTGTTGTTCATTTATTGCATGTATGTGAGTTTCTAAAAATATATATATTCTAATTAGATATGCAATATATGGTAATACTAAGTAATTCGATCTTACACCAATGATAAGAAATATATTCTTCACTTGAGTGACTCCTTTGCATAGTTAGGAGATGGGCGTATATAGACAGTTTGTGGGAGTGAGTTAAACAACTAGGAAAAAAAAATACTTACAAAGATGTGGGACATATTTATAAGTACGATGCAATTGAATTTTCAGGATATATATTATGAGTGAAGCAATCAACTATCTATAAAAACAAGTTCAGATAACAATATGGGTGAAACTATCAAAAATCTATTTTTCTTATTTTTTTTAAATATCTATTTGTGAGGAATTAGGTATAAATGAGCATTTGAAGTTTGAAATAAAAGACACATTATATCATGCACTTGTACTTAACTTCCAATGTGATGGCTTATGCATTTGGAAACTATCATCTTACTCCCACCCGACGCACTTTAGTAGTCTGATCAATCCTTTTCTAAAGTAATCATAAGATTAATCCAGGCCTTATAATTAAGCTTCAATACTTAACAATCACTCTCTCTTATCTAGAAACATTTATATATATATATATATATGTTTAGACGTATGTTATATATATACGTACCTATGCATGTACATGTGTATACCACTTGTTCTATAAGCACGGTCTAGTTGTTAGGTATCTCATCCTTCAAAGCTAGCTTAATACTGAATTCGGCCTAAACTAATCGTTTATTATTATTATTATTTTTCTCACGTGAAAGCGAGCAATGCAAACAAAAATATTTGTAATTGATTGGATATATACAGAAATTACTTGCCTGTGGAGTCCCATTTTCATCTGTTTCAAGCCGGTATTCATGCATAATCCAGTCTGACTTTTGTCCATTTGGGGCTCGACCCTTGTAGAAAACTAAGGTCTTCCTCATTCCTATCAAGTCATGCTTAGAATAAATAGCCTTGTCTCTTCCCGTTGCTTTCCAAAATCCTGCTGCGGTTGCTCTATTTGTGCGAGTTCCGGTTGGATATTTCTTGTCTTTATGGCTAAAAAAATACCAGTCACTTTGCTCTTCTGATCCTATCTTGCATAATTCTGTACAAATAATTCAATAGTTTCATTTTAATTGTATTAGAAAAATATAATTGACGGACCATCAGATTGAAGATGGATCATCATATATGTGTATATATATAACCTTGAAGATCCCATGGCTCAATCTTATAGAGGTCAACCTCTTTAATCACATCGAGGTCAAACCTTCTTGAAGCAATCTTTCTCCGGAGGTAGTAATCGACAAGTTCTTCATCAGTTGGGTGAAACCGAAAACCAGGGGGAACGTGTGAAAAAGCATTCATGTTCTCCTTCTTATCAGCTTGACTAGTCCTGAAATTCATTTAGCATTTGTACATAATGAGAGAGTTATTAGCTTATTCTTGCATATATATACATATATATATATATATATATATAAGTATAAGAAAGCCACAGTACACTTTCATCAAATATTTGATCAGCATGATTTTCCCTTTGAAAGACTCAGGTTCAATTATCAATTCAAAAGCCTTATTATATTACTTCTGGGGAAAAGCATGCAGCTTTGGACGTGGTAGCATGGTTTCCTTTGCGTGGACTATATATAGATTCACTACAAGTAACTGTATATGTTGAGAAAAGCTAATTGAACTTAATTTCTATATTTTTTATCATCTTAATTAACTAGCTAGTTTGTCTTACTCCTAAATGCAGTGTGATATATTTATATATATAGACATATATATATACATGTGGCAGTGAAAGATTATACTATTATTAGGTTATATATATAGTCCGTATCATGTAAGGAAATATCTTAAGAGGGTTATATACGCTTGAAAACAAACTAAGAATTCTATTTACTTTATCATAAATTTTAGAGGCGGAGAGAAAGATGGTATATTATCGCCACGAACTAATTTGGAAATGGATAGAGAAACTTACATATATAGTAATTAATAATATTTCTAGTAAACTTACATATACACAACAAATTCGCTGCAAATGAAGAAGAAACATGCATGCTTATCACATGTCCAACAGTTATCATTTAAAAAAGATAGAGCTGTCTTCGCAGGATTAACCTAATGATGCGTGCCTGAATGTATTGTACATAGTAATGACATTTCCAAGACAAGAGAACATAATAATAATAATGTTTCTTTCCCATTTAATGATAGGTGTCTTTACAGTAAAGTGAGTTCTAATCCTGAATATATAATTTTTACTAAGAAGAACCCTTTTGTTAGAGAAATTTTTGAAACTGCGTACTAAAAGGATATATTGTACCGAAACCAAAATCTAGTACCTTCTCCAAATATTATAGCATATGAAAAAGCGTTTTTGATTACTTGAGAATGCTCGCGATATTAATCCTTTAGTTATAAAGTTCAGGAGAAAAGCTACAAGGAAAAAAGGTAGAGCTATGTAATACTGTTCGAAGCAGGCGGAATATAATCAGAATTCTCCTTTTGAAATTAACGTTTGAAAAAAAAATAAAAAATAAAAACCATTCTCTTTTTCTGCTTAAGTAGTACTGCAGTAGTTATTGTTAACGATATGTTAAATCACAATTGAAATCTTGGTAGACGGCCTTTTGTCTTTAAATCTGAAGAGAAAGATATATTGAACTTTGACCAACAAGTTTTCATCTTCCTAATTCCTAATTAACTCATTACAACGAAAAAAAGAAAAAGAAAACCTAATTAACTAACCAAAGATTTGTCATGTCAACACACAATAACCAGCACAAACGATGTCCTATGATTAAAGACAAAGAAAACATGGGGGTTGGAGAGAGAGAGAGAGAGAGAGAGAGAGAGAGAGATATAGGAAGAAACAAATGAAGAATTTGATATCAGATCACACAAATAAATCATAAACGATACGAAAGATACAGAAAGAGAGAGAACTCACAGAATAAAGCACGAACTTCCTATACAACTCTTGAGTAAACCAAAGATCTGGGATGTTCACTTGAGTCAATCTTCCTGCAACAAGAAAATCCTTCTCCGGTTCTAGGCCAAAAGGATTGATTTTACAAACTGGGTCTTTCTCAAAATTCACTTGGTTCTCTATTTTGTAAGCTTTATCAAACCTCTCCTCAAAAGCTAGATATAAGGGAAAGGTGCTAATCAGACAAAGAAACAACAAGAGCAAAACAAAAAAGCAGTCATATGTAGTACGATCCTCGGAAATTGAACCGATCAATTGTTTATAGTCTTTCAAACTGCTGACCACGCTGTCTATTTGTCGGATCGATCAGATCCCGAGGAAGAAAAAAAGCATCTCAACAAAAAGAAAGGCTGAGGAATGGAAGAACCGAGACCAACTGGGATTAAATAGGAAATTATAAAACCCTAATATTATATATGATTATATATATTTAATAAAAAATGAGAAAAGGACAGGACAAAGAGATTATCTAAGTAACTTCTCCTTGTTAGTTTTCAGAAGCTCTCGTTTTCATTCTAAGCTAGATTGGTGGGAAAGATTTGGCGGGAAAATAGGTGACGCGTATATATATATATATATATATATATACACACACACACACTATATATGTATATATAATTAGCTTAGGGAGATCAAGAAGGAAAGCACCGTCTACAACCGCAACCGATAAAGACCCTCGAAATTGAGAGTTTCTAAAGGGAAACGTATTCTCTTTCAAAGATCTCTCTCCCACAAATATGAGAGAGAGAGAGAGAGAGAGAGAGAGAGAGAGAGCAAACGGTGGAGTCAGAGAGAGAGGAAACTAAACGGCACAGACCAATCACCAATCTTAAAAGCCTCCAGAAGACCCCAAAAAGAAATGTATAATATATATATATATATATACACACACACACAATAATTTATATATATATATATATATATATATATTCAAAGAGATTTTGGTGTTGAGGTGACGTAATGGAACAGCCAACGGCCAAAAAAGATGGCCACAACTCCATTCCTTTTGTCCCTAGCTAGCTACCCCAGTTTCACCATTTGTCATCCTTGTCCTAACTGTAATGAAACTAGGACGATCATGTTGTTGCTTTATCTAGTGATCACCCTAGGTTTCACGGTATGTTTAAGTTTACTTTGGTGGGCTATTGACATGTGGCATTCTGTGGCATTCTCTGATTTATGTCCCATCTAATTCTTTAGCCAATTATTATGGCTAAACGGGGTTGTTCAGTTCTATAATTACAAAGATTAGAATTGTTACGTTTCACCGAGTTAGCCACTAGTTCTGCATCTTCATAATTGTGATTTTTGCCCAAAGTTGCTTCCGCGATTATGGTCTTTATTAATTAATCCACTAATAACTTAATGTCGGTTTAGTTTTTAGATTCAAACAGAAATTTAAATTTTTATGTGAAAAATTGTAACAAAAAGATATAAAACAGTTTAAATTCGTTTGGAATTGTAATAACTTAATTAAGTTATAAACTTTTATGTGTATCTCTTCTTGTTTTAAGAGCTCATTATAATATGCAAATGAACGCATCTCTCTTCTGCCATATATAGAATATTCACTGAAACTAAATTTACAAAAAAATTCATTGAAGTGCTGGTCATGTTAGCACTGTCCGTGAACTCATAACGGAGAAAAAGGAAAAATATTTTACACCAAATTTACAAAAGGAAAAATATTGTATACACTACAAGAAAAGGGGATTTTTGCGACGACAAAAAATCGTCGTAAAAACCCTAATGTCGTCGTAAATAGTATTTTTTGCGACGACATGTCGTCACAAATATGTCACCGAAAAAAATAGTCGCAAATACTTTATTTACCCCAACTCTTAATCATATTCCTATAACATGTACCCCCCTCAGTAGTGCGTTGGTTTTGCTCGTGGCCTATACGTTTCCCACTCTCATAATGATCCACTCTTTTTATATTACGTGTGTTTACCAGCTGAGTCACCCCTTACGGAGCTTAAGCCCGTTCCAACAGCTGACGGTTTTCTTTTTTCGCCCCCGTTCCGTCACGGTTTAAAACTACGTCATAGGAAAATATTCTCTGGAAATTAGGGGTATTTTGGGATATAAATTTTTTTTTCATGTTCACCACGAAGCAAACGTCGTCAACGTGTCATTTCGCGATTAGTCTGTTATTTCATGTTTTTTTTTTTTATTGCTTGCTGTGATGCCCACGAGGGGGTTGCATGTAGTGGGGCTCACTTAACTGACCAATAGGCGTCGAGAGCGATACGAGAAGCTTTAATAAGTCGGCTTAGCCGAGCCGAGCCGCGTTTATTGGGGAATTGGCTGATTGTGTTAGTGGATTGTGGGGCCCGCTGAAATGATGCTCCTGGGACTGTCTGTTCGTGGCGGCTTGCGGTCCGGCGTGGGCTAGCCACTATCATTAAGCTCGCAAGTTGGGAGGTATTCTTCGGGATGAGCTGTGCAATGGTGGGTCCAACCAAGTTGCCCCCAGTTGGGCCCACCACAATTGCTCATGGGCCCTACTTTGTTAGGCCTAGACGGGTTCGGTCCCTTGGGCCCATTTCGAGAAATCACTCGAGCTCCCACACGTGCTTGTCTTTACGGTACGAAAGGCAAGGAAAAGGACTATAACGCGCATAAATTACCCCTGTTACGCGGATTACACAGTCTTACACTTCCATAATATATTTTTGCGAGTATTTTGGAATTTGGAATTGTCTCTTGGGACTTGTTTGATAAATGCTTAGGGCACATTTAGTTCATTGATTTGAATTTAGATGTGATTTTATGTGAAATTTTTTTACTGTAATAAAAAAGTTAAATGTGACTATTTTTAAAAATTTTTTACTATAACAAAACTCGAATCGATGAAATGAACGCAGCCTTAATATTTTTTGCTATTCGTTGAAAAGATTCAACCGAGTAACATATTTTCACATAACGAAAGTGCTAAACTTTCTTCAAGCTTATATATTGATTATGACAAACTTTTGGTCACTCCAAATATCGTCATGCAAGCAAAAGTCAATACTATCTTCAGATTTTTTTTATTTTTTTGAAAAAAAAAATTTCGACAATATGCATCATTGATGATAAATAACTAATGTTCATCTTTCGTACTATAGAGTATACACCATTAATTAAAAGAATAACAACAACAACAATATTGTCATTATGGTGAAAGCATTATCGATTGCAATCACAAAACCATATTATATGATGTCAATTGAACTTATTAGATTGAAGAAGTGGGTTTTTCTTTTTTTATATATAGGAAAGAATTAGCTTTTTAAGCTACTGGGTCTCAAATTCAAATCATGAGACTATGAAATCTGCAAGTATATACATAGCTAGATACAATCTAATTTTTACAGAATGAGAGGGAGAGAAAAAGAGCATTGCGTTCCTAATTGGAGGCTGGGTTTCTGGTCACCAAATATCAACTACATGATCGTTGTCAGATGTTGAGTTATGGTGTAGGGTTCATTCCACTCGTAAAGAAGAATAGTTGTTATATCAGAGTTGAGGATGAGACCAAAATGTGTTTTAACTCGGAAAATTAGAAATCAAAATGTGATTTAGCTATAATACGAGACTAAAGAAGGAATTTACCCATAACATTAAGTACAATAAGAAACAATAAAAAATTGTTTGACGGGATTAGTCACAAACATATGACCCGTTTAATTTACTAATTTAAATTTAAATGTGATTTTATATGAAAATTTTTTTACTTTAATAAAATTTAAATTATAAAATTAAATTAGTAAAATAAATGGAGACATAATAGTTTAACTATAGTTTCTCCATCAAGTTCATGGTAAAATGTTTCAAATTCAAAAAAGAAAATTAACAAAAAAAAAGTGTAATTTCGTTATGTTGGGTCGAGATCCAATCAAATGGGTCCCACTTTGACATCAAAACGGCGAAGGGAGACATCATACCCACAGATAGTATGCTGTCATAAGCTAATCTCTTTTTTCTTTTTTGTTTTTAATTTTTTTTTCCAACTGGAGTGTAGTATAGAACTCAGTTATATCTGACGTGGCGGCGTTGGGGTTGGCTGAACTTCACGGCAACCAATAGGAATGCGGCCTCTATAATACACCTTGGGCCCCACCCACAGTTCGTCAGACGTCGCTCTTTGTTTTTCTTCCCATCATAATCATTATCTCTCTCTAATTCACGTTCCGCCTACAAGGCCGACAATTTAGAGGCTGACAATTTAAACCCGTTTATTTTATTAATTTAAATTTAAATTTTAAATTTTGTTACAAAATTTTTATAAACAGTTAAATTTAATTTTTTATTACATTTAATTTTTTATTATAATAAAAAATTCTCACATAAAATCATATTTCAATTCAAATTAAAAATTTAAATTAATAAATTAAACGGACCTTAGATAGCGACCCGACTTAAAATTTATACGAAGTTTATTAGTTTAAATTTATTATAAATAGATTTATATTATAATTGAATTGACATAATTAATAAATAGATTGAGTTATGATTGGCAATCTTAATACGAAGTGACACGAATTAACACGATTAACTATATGTGTCATCTGTAATATAATGATATGTGATATAACATGAAAGTTTATATGACATATTAAATATAAATAATGTGAATTTTAATATTTGTAAGTAAAGTTCATTTATTTTTTTAAAGAAAAAGATAAATTGACCAATAAACATGTTAAATTTATCTTAATAATGTTAAATAAATCATCATTATATTAATTATTTATTCAATATATTAATTTAAACAGATTATATGAGTTGACATGACTAATGCGATTAATAATTATGCTGTATTTGAGTTAACGTTTTTAATACGTTTAATAAATAGTTTATGTTTAAGTTGATATTTTTTAACACAATTAATAAATAAATTGACACAAATATAACTCATTAGCACAAGATTGAGGACGTCTGATTTATGTATTCAAAATCATGATTTAGAATTATTCTCATTTTACGTGTATTTTTTATAAGAA